GTGAACAAAGGCCTCCTGTAGCGAATCGATGCGTTTTTGTAAGAAAAATATCCATATTCAAAACGTAATAATCACTTTAATCTAGCTTTTGCTAACAGTTGTACACGGAAGCAGCTCCGGTAGGACGACGTAAAATGTCTGCGTTGCGCATGCGCCAGTGAGTCTCGTGAAAACCAACGTTTGTTTACAGTATCAAAGGAAGCAAAGTTTCCTTACTTTAGCAGAGGAAAACCAGTCTCATCTTGGCTTATATCAAAATCCTCTAACATTTTACTTTACAAATCCTCGTTTTGTACTTTTAATTCGTGACGTTGTTTTGTTTTGATCTCTCCGCTGCACTTCCTTGTTCGTCACTTCTGAGCGGCGCATGCGCAACGCCGACCTCATACATCATCCGCCCGGAGCTGCTTCCATGTACAACAGTGAGCGCAAGAACACCCGCTGACTGCCATTAAACAGCTTGGAAGTTCAAAGACCATTTTTAATATAACTCCGACTGGATTCGTCTGAAAGAAGAAAGTCATATACACCTAGGATGCCTTGAGGGTGAGTAATTCATGGGCTAATTTTCATTTTTGGGTGAACTAACCCTTTAACAGATATAGAAAGTTTTTGCTTTGTAGAACATTATTTTAATGTTCCCATAACGTTATTATAACATTCCCCTAACCACTTTACTCTGAAATGATTACCCCGCTGTACATCAGTAATCATCCAGCACACTCGCGACGCAGTATAGTATAAGCGGCATGGAAATGATCTGTATAGATGCCTAATCAGTATTATAAAAATTTTAATTTACATTAAATAAGGTAACATTTGTCCATTAATGTGTAAGATTACGGGGTACCCAGATTTTACATCAAATAAAAATCAGCACCAAATAAAAATGACTTCAACTCAATTTATGGTTTATAAAATTTATTCACAGATAAACTTTTAGCCATTAACTAAACTCAATTAGCCATTTTCTCTCCCCGGTGTCATGTGACTCAGTGATACAAGGTCTCAGGTGTGAATGGGGAGCAGGTGTGTTAAATTTGGTGTTATCGCTCTCACTCTCTCATACTGGTCACTGGAAGTTCAACATGGCACCTCATGGCAAAGAACTCTCTGAGGATCTGAAAAAAAGAATTGTTGCTCTACATAAAGATGGCGTAGGCTATAAGAAGATTGCCAAGACCCTGAAACTGAGCTGCAGCACGGTGGCCAAGACCATACAGCGGTTTAACAGGACAGGTTCCACTCAGAACAGGCCTCGCCATGGTCGACCAAAAAAGTTGAGTGCACGTGCTTAGCGTCATATCCAGAGGTTGTGTTTGGGAAATAGACGTATGAGTGCTGCCAGCATTGCTGCAGAGGTTGAAGGGGTGGGGGGTCAGCCAGTGCTCAGACCATACACCGCACACTGCATCAAACTGGTCTGCATGGCTGTTGTCCCAGAAGGAAGCCTCTTCTAAAGATGATGCACAAGAAAGCCCGCAAACAGTTTGCTGAAGACAAGCAGACTAAGGACATATATATATATATATATATATATGAATAAACAATTTCTTGACTTAAAGTACATTGATTTCTTACCACTGAAGTGTACAGTTTGTACTTTCTTCTTTTGAATATGTAAACAAAAATTTCTCAATTAACATCATGTTATCTTCAGTTAGGCATGTCATATCCCTCTGAAATCATATTTACTCTCATAACTGCATTGGATTTAAAGGGTTAGTTCACCCAAAAATGAAAATTCTGTCATTAATTACTCACCCTCATGTCGTTCCAAACCCGTAAGACCTCCGTTCATCTTCGGAACACAAATTAAGATATTTTTGATGCATTCTGACATCTCTCTGACCCTCCCATAGACAGCAAGGGTACTACCACGATCAATGTCCAGAAACGTAGCAAGGAGATCGGTAAAATAAGCCATGTGACATCAGGGGTTCAACCGTAATATTGCGAAGCTACGAGAATACTTTTTGTGCGCAAAAGAAAAAAAAAAAAATAACGACTTTATTCAACAATTTGTCTCCTCTCCTTTGTCCCCCTAGCGCCATTTTGGAGAGTATCCACTGAACGCAAACAGCGTATGTTGTTCTGTATCAGCCGCACCATATGTTGTTTTCGTTCAAATCAAAGCACAAACAACGTAGAAGACGTATCCCTGTGGTGCAGCTGACACAGAACAACATACGCTGTTTGCGTTCAGTGGATACTCTCCAAAATGCCGCTTGGGTGACGCGGAGGAGACAAATTGTTGAATAAACATACGCTGTTTGCGTTCAGTGGATACTCTCCAAAATGCCGCTTTGGTGACGCGGAGGAGACAAATTGTTGAATAAAGTCTTTTTTTTTTTCTTTTGCAAAAATCTTTAAATAAAAATCTTTATTTAAAAAAAATAATAATAATAATTCCACCTGAATTTTTTTTTCTCCATGTTGCGGTTCAGGGCTTCTGTAGAAAACACCCCTGGTAGATACAGACACTTCCTCACACACACATATTCTGTAGACTGCAGTGCAGATGCATGTATCAAGCTGATTTTATTTCTCTGCAGAGAGTTCTGAGCGACGCATATATACAGTAGTTTTGGTTATTCTCCTAAACATAAATCTCTGCTCTTCTGCACTGTTATGAATGTCTCCCACACAGAAGGCAAATACTGTATGCTTTTAAAACACTTCCTCTGCATTACTAAATTCAGCGTTAAATTGGGTTAGGCTGCAGTGTGGAGTTTCTGAATTTATGATTGGTTCTAGTTCTTCTCTAAAGTTGTTCTTATAGTTCTCTAATAGTTTACAAGACATGAAGTTAT